TAACACCAAGCACCATTGCTTGGAAAACAGTAGTTCACTGAGTTATGTAGATCTTCCAAATGTTGACACATTCATTAAAAACATTTTTAAAATCACAGTCACAGTTATTAATATCAATAATCTTCAGAAAAGCCTAAGTATTTGGAAGGTATCAATCATGTTAATACAAGCTTTCTAATTTTCATTTGGAACTTGCATTTTCTCACTGGGAACAAACACTGTCAACTATTTTTTGAGTGACAGGTTGACTTTCTCATTCTAAAGAAAATGACTGCCAAATTCCCACGTCTGAATAACCCTAGTTTGTTAGGTGTTCCCTCACGTAACAATGGTGTTCTGGAAAAAGAGCACCTAGTTCTACATGCAACTCAAAACACTCACACAAGTGCTTTTCCTGAAGACAATCATCATGTTTTGGTAGCAACAGAAAAATTGCAAATAGACTCCCTGTTTTGCCACACAAAATACCAAAAAGATGTTTACTCATGGGTCTAGATTTAATAAAATTGTAGAATTTTTACTGCTAGAGCAAAAACATTCTTACTGAAACTGGTGATTTGGTACTGGGGATTGAACCTAAGGGCACTTTACCACTGAGCTCGGATCCCAACCCTTTTTTAAAATTTCAAGACTGGGTGTGGAGGTACACGCCTATAATCCCAACTAAGTAATGGTAAGGCTCTTAGCACCTCAGTGAGACCCTGTCTCTAAATAAAATACAAAATAGGGCTGGGGATGTGAATCAGTGGTCGAGTGCCCCTGAGTTCAATCCTTAGTAACAACAACAAAAAAAAAAACCACCGTGTCAAATATCATCTTTATCCCCTATTGCAATTAAATGATTTTTTAAAAAAATTTCAAGACAGGGTCTTGTTAAATTGCTGAGGCTAGCCTTAAATCTGCAATCCTTCTGCCTTAGCCTCCCAAACTCCACTGTGCCCAGTGAAACTGGTAGTTTTTTAAAAACTTCATTTGGCAGTAAAGAATACAACACTTACTAATATAATTTACCATTGCCTTGAGCATGCTAAGGAACCAGTAATTTTACCTTTCACGTTTTGGCACTATCATTACAACTGTCAAAGCTTGAAAGTCAAATAGCATCTTGGTTTTGTTATGAAAACAAGTTTGACCTCATGGGCCCTCTGGAAAGGCCTCAGAGACTTCAGAGATCCCAGACATGAACTGAGAAGTTAACTTACTTGATAAACTTTTAAAAAATTACTGTGACACTTTACAAAGCTTAAATGCATCAAAAAAAAAAAAAAAAAAAAAAAACCTCACTGATATTTAGCTTATCCTAAAGATGAGCATTAACAGATTCTAGACTAAATGAGAAACTTCTAAAAAAGTAAACTGAAAAGACAAATGATACAGTATCATTAAGTAATTAGGGGATCAAGGCAATTGTGGTTTCAGCTTCTAAAATAGTCCCTAGTGATCACCACCTCCTGCATAGTCCCATTAACACCCTGTACCAGAGTTGGTTTGGTCTGTGTGAATCCTGCAAATAACCATGTGTATAAGCATGGAAGCAGATCCCCGAGCCCCAACTCTTTTTTTTTTTTTTAACCTGTAAATAGACACAATACCTTTATTTTATTATTTATTTATTTATTTTTATGTGGTACTGAGGATGGAATCCAGTACGTCACACATTCTAGGAAAGCGCTTTACCACTGACCTACAACCCAACCCCCTACCCCAGCTGAGTCTTGAAATGACTGCAACTCTCACCATCACATTAGGCAGCAGCTGACTGTTTTAAGTGAGTTTAAATTTTGCTGATAGACTGTCCTAATGAAGCTCCAAAACAGTAGACTTATGAACTTAAATAATAAAATTTTATAACTACACACACACACACACACACACACACACACACACGCCCTCCTCTAGAAGAGGGGTCAGATGGCAAATCTGTAATCCTTGTATTCTACAGAAATTACATGAGTTACTCTGAACTGGTACCATTTCTTCCCATTCAAAAAAACAGCTTACCTGTTTTGAAAGGAGGGATGGATTTCTCCTTTCTTGCTAATTGTTGAGGGAGCCATTGAGATGATGATGATTAAGATTAGCTGTGTATTCAATTGTATATAGACCCCTGCTGTCCTCCTCGCTTGCCCGCTAAGATACTTTGGAGTTCTCGCGGGATTCCTGGGGAGTTGGCGTTGGTTGGGGAAGTTCCGGGTGTGTGGTATTGCTGGAAGGGCCGCATGGGTGGTGTTCGCAGACTTCGGAAATAAAGTTTGTTCCTGCTTGAGTGGCTCCTGATTTGTGCCCAGCCAGACTGTGGCAGCTAATGACTTTTCTGGCATCTTCCCACAATACAAACCTGACTAAACCATACAAAAACCCCCATTCTTGGAATTACTCCTCCTTGGAAGTGAGTATTATATAAGCATTCTTCTCAAGATGAAAAGTAGTTCCTACCTAAGGTCCTTAACTGAATAAAATATCTGCACCCCATGTATACTGGTTGTTTTTTTAAAACAGGGTATCAGTATCTTCCTTGCAAAGGAAAGTTTTCTTCCTTTACCCACATCAACCTCTGGAATCCCATCCCTATTATTTTTTTTTTTGGGGGGGTGGGGTGGGTACCAGGGATTGAACTCAGGGCCACTTGACCACTGAGCCACATCCCCAGCTAGGACAAAGCATAGTTTTCATCTTAAGCTCTTTATTTATAGACAGGGTCTCACTGAGTTGCTTAGTGCTTCACTTTTGCTGAGGCTGACCTTGAAGCAATCCTCCTGCCTCAGCCTCCCAAGCCACTGGGCGCCTCGGATTACCACTGCACCCGAAGGATCCTATCCTTTTATGTATGGAGTGCTTTTTTCTTCCAGTTTCCATACTTTTCTCAACCAAGGCAATACTTCAATCCCCATCTCTGCATTTTCTTGTCTCCAATTTTGGTTAATGGAGAAGAAAAATCTTTCTGACTGGTTCCCTCAGCCATTTCTATGTTTTTCAATACGAATAAGTTCTATTACTTGTAGTTACCTGAAGCATAACACACAGATAGTTCCAACTTTCCAGATACTCCATTTCTTGATTTCAAGAAAATTGCCCTTGCCAGCCTTCTAGCATTCATTCTTCTATCATTCCTGTTTTTCTAGCTGGCTTATTACCCCAGAAGCTCTAACTCCTTATCTGTTCAAAGAGAATTTTCTCCATACCTCTCTTTTTTTCAGACAATTGCAAGAAAGAGCTCACAGTCAGTCCCTCATTTCAAAGACCCAGCCATTCCCCTTGGTTATTTATTTTTGTGGTACTGGAGACTGTTTTAACAGTCTCAGGGTACCAGTATCTTCCTTGCAAAGGAAGGTTTTTCTCCCTCTACTCCATATCCACCTTGGGGATACCATCCTCTTTTTTTTTTTTTTTTTTCTTTTTTTCAAGGGGAGTGGTACCAGGGCTACTTGACCACTAAGCCACATCCCTTTAAAATTTTGCAGTACCGAGGGCCAGTTAGATAAGCACTCTACTACTGAGTTATAACCCTAGTCATCTTTTTTTTTTTTCATTTTATTTTGAGACAGGGTGTTGCTAAATTATCCAGGCTGACCTTCAACTTGTGATCCTCCTGCCTTAGCCTCCTCAGTCACTGGGATTACAGGCATGCACCAAGGTCCTGGCCTCCCCTTGGTTTATTATAAACAAGAATGACCAAATTCTAGATCAGATATACTTGTGACCCTTTCACAGCTTCCTGAATGGTACAATAACCTCCAAAATGTCAGTCTTCAATGCCAACCCACTTCCTAGGTATTGTGGTTTGCCGTAGTCTGGCTGGGCACAAATAACTGAGCCACCACGAGGCACTTGTAGGTTCAAACAGGAACTACTTTATTGCCCCCGAACTCCACTGGCATTCCACGTGCACTCCCCGGGAACTCTCTCTGCCCTCAACGGGGCTCCGGAAGAACTCCAGGCACCATCCCACTCGGCTGTGGCTCTCAACAGTGGTTCCCCTTGCCAGGGCCACAGTGAAGACCACCAAATCACAAAAGCAGGATAAATTTCAAATCTGGGTGGGAAAGGGTACATCTAAAGAGATAACTGAGGGCTGGGGATGTGGCTCAAGCGGTAGCGCGCTCGCCTGGCATGCGTGTGGCCCGGGTTCGATCCTCAGCACCACATACAAACAAAGATGTTGTGTCCGCCGAGAACTAAAAAATAAATATTAAAAATTCTCTCTCTCTCTCTCTCTCCCTCCCTCTCTCACTCTATCTTTAAAAAAAATAATAATAATAAAGAGATAACTGATAGACCCAACCTGATCTTTTCTTAAAATTGGGCATCTCCCCACAAAACCATGAAAAGATAATTTCAGCTTTACTATAAATTACTGCAAATTCTGAACCTGCTTGGAATGCCTGTCCGTGCCTTGAACTCACCCATGCCTGGCTCTCTGACCAGATAGCAGCCCTCTCTGAAACTTAGTGACACCTCATAAATATTGGCCTTCCTTGGCCAGATAACGACCCTCTCTGAGGCTCTAATGGTCCTCATAGATTCTGATGTTGGGGCCAGCAAAAACTGTAAACTACCATTAGTGTGATGCTTGTCAGAGTTCTGCTATCTGTAACCCCCCTTTGTGTAACTTTCTGGGCTATAAAGCTGGGCTTCAGGAAAGCTGGGGTGCTGTCTTGTTCCCGCCGTTTGGGGAGGGAGAGGCAGCCCGGCCGGTCGAAATAATAAGCTTGCTTTAATTTGATTTTAATTGGAGTCAGTGGTCTTTTCTTGCATCCTGGTCTAACAATAACATCTATGTTCATCCTCTATCCCACCCAGAAAAGATTAAGAGTTGTGTCCTCAAAGACCCCTGATTTTTGTCTTTAAAAAAAAAAAAGAAAGAGGGCTGGGGATGTGGCTCAAGTGGTAGCTCGCATGCGCGTGTGGCCCGGGTTCGATCCTCAGTACCACACACAAAGATGTTGTGTCCGCCAAAACCAAAAAAATAAACATTAAAAAAAGAAGAGTTAGAGCCTTACAGCCTCCTTGACCAGTTTTCTACTGGATTCGATCATTGCTTCTGTCAGTGTAAATTCCGTTTTAATCATTTCCAGCACATTGATAGCTGATTCCAATGGTGTGAGCTCAGCTTCCATATCAAAGGAACAGTCTAGGACAAAGCAGAGTTTTCACTTTAAGCTCTGTTCTAAGAGTGGAAATTATGTCCAAAAAATATACACATTTATGGCAAAGGATCATGCAAATATATGAAGACTTTCGTTTTTGTTGCTGACATACTTGCCACAGGCTTTTGTATAAGGGCAAATTCAAATCAATGAGTTTAAAGTGACATCATTTAATATTTCTCAAGATGGCTAAATTATTTTTTTAACATATTCATTTGCCTCTCAAATTCAGGATAACACATCCTCCTCAGATGTAAGTGGCCAGAAACTGAACACAGTTTGCTAAACAGCTACCAATTTCAATTCAGGAAAAAAAAATGTGCTCATACTTTGAAAAATTCTCTAACATGGGGAAAATATGTCCGTATTAATATAACTCACTTTCGACAATAAATAAAGTTGTATTAACAATTAACAGGTGGGAGAAAACACACACACACACACACACACACACAAAAGCAACCAAAAGAACCTTAATTGGAGAAACCTAGAGCCAGAGAATACACCCATTGTAGAATGAAAAAGATCACCGTGATGGAAACAGCAGTGCACCTTAACCCGGAATCCTTCAGTTTCCGAATATAAGTTTGAAAACAAAACCCTACGTAAGCAAGCCCAGAGAAGAACACAAATATAGCCATACCTAAATTTTCCCCTTCTTCAATGCGTGACAGACACTGCATAACCCGAAGCAACCGGGACACCGTATGCTCCTTCCCCAAGGGCCTGACAAGCAAAGCTGAGAAAGAAGACATCGTTGGCTTGACGACCCCTACCCGCTACCCAGCGCTCACAGACCCCTCCTTCCCCCGGCCAGGCCCTCACCCTGCATGATGTCCCGGATCTGCCTGAAGTCCCCGTACCGGCTACCCCGAAAGGCCCGCAGCGCCTCGTGGAAGTAGAACTTGAGCACCCAGCGATTCACCGCCTCCTCCAGCCGTGCCTCCCCCGCGCCCCGCTCCGCCGCGCCCCCCAGCCCCGGCTCGTGGCGCCCTCGCCGACCCCGCCCGCTACTGCGAGACGCCCGTCGGCCCGCAGCCCGCCCGCTGCCGTCGTTGCTCCCGCCTCCTCCCGCCATCCCGTCCGATCGCCGTGCGCCCTCCCCGCCTTCCCGGCTGGGCCGCTTCCTCGGCTGTGACGCCGATGGGTCACGCACTACGCCCGAGCCGGAAGCGGGACCGGCAGTCCCGGCTCCAGCGGCCATGATACGGACGGTGTTTCAAGCCGCCCGAGGGCTTCTGGGAGGGAAAGGACCGGGGGCCCCAGCCCCCCTTCCGGCCCCCGTAGTTCTCGAAGTACCCGCCGCAATGCCTGCTGGGGCTTGAAGTCCGCACCACCGAGACCTGGGAGCTCCTCTCCAAACTTAAGAATTCGATGCTGGAGACGTGGGACTCAGTAAAGATACTGAAAAGTAAGTACATGCAGACTAATCACTTTGAAAAGTGTGCAAATGAACATAACAGATGAAAGTTTAATAAACAAATTTACATTTTAGCAAATAATTTATAAAGCCTATGTAAGCCCAAGCAAGGTCAAGAAATAGAACCTCAAAAACCATTAGACATATAATTTTCAAAATTCACAAAATAGCACATTTTGTGGCGGACCAAACATTAAAAATAAGCAAGTTCAGCTGGGCGCTATGGCTCATCCCAGCGGTTGGGGAGGTTGAGGCGGGAGGATAGGGAGTTAAAAGCCAGCCTCAGCAATTTAGTGAGGCCCTCAGCAACTTAAGACCCTGCCTCTAAATGAAATATAAAAAGAGCTGAGGATGTGTCTCAGTGGTTGAGTGCCTCTAGGTTCAATCCCCAATACCAAAAAATAAAAAAACAAAAATAAAATAAGCAAGTTCAAAACAAGCCTCAGCTATTTAGCAAGGCCCTAAGCAACTTAGCAAGACCCTGTCTCAGAAAATAAAAGGGCTGGGGATGTGACTCTGTGGTAAAGCGCCCCTGGGTTCAATCTAGTACATACATACATACATGCGTACATAAATACATGCATGAATACATACATAAATAAATAAAATAAGCAAAAGAATCACCCACAATCCCACATGAAACGAAAGTTGACATTTAGGCTTCTAGACTTCCAATGTCTTCTGCCATTCCAGGTAGTTAAGATTGAATCAGAGGTCCTCTACCACTAGTCCTTCTGTTTTTTGTTTGGAGAAAGGATGCTGCTAAATTGTAGAGGCTGGCCTCCAACTTGCAATTCTGCTTCAGCCTCCTGAGTCACCGGGATTACAAGCATGTGCCATTGAGCCTGGTACTAATGCCTATTTATGTGTGTGTGTGTGTGTGTGTGTGTGTTTGAAAAATGGGATGGTACTACACATATTCTTTCATGCCTTCATTTTTATTAAACATTCAATGAACATCTTTCCATGTCATTTTTCTACAGTATCTTTGACAGCTACATAGCACCCCAGTGTATGGATGAAGGAAAGTTGTTTTGTTTAGGCTACTTAAAAGTTTTGTAGAACATTTAGCCAGGAGTGGTGGCACACCTGTAATCCCAGCAGCTGGGGAGGCTGAGATTGCAAGTTCAAAGCCTGCCTCAGCAATTTAGCATGGCCCTAAACAACTTTGTGAGACCCTGTCTCAAAATAAAAAGTTTTTTAAAGAGCTGGGGTTGTGGTTCAGCGGTAGAGTGCTCTCCTCACACGTGCAAGACCCTGGTTCGATCCTCAGCACCACATAAAAATAAATGAATAAAATAAACGTATTGTGTCTAACTACAACTAAAAATGAATTTAAAAAAAAAAACTTTTTTAAAAGTGCTGGGGATGTGGCTCAGTGATTAAGCACTTCTCTTTCAATCCCCAGTACAAAAAAAGAATGAATGAATGAATTGAATTAATGAAAATACCTGGGCACAGTGACCCACACCTATAATTCCAACGACTTGGAAAGCTGAGACAGGAGGTTGAGGTACAAACATGGCAAATTCGAGACCAGCCTCAGCAACTTAGTGACCCTGTCTCAAAATTAAAAATTTAAAGCGGTAGGGATGTGGGTTCAGTGGTAGAGCTACCCTGGGTTCAATCTCCAGTACCAAAATAAATAAATAATGAAAACAAATCTCATAGAGAATGCATTGGCTAGACAATGTACCTTAACCTAATAGCAAGTTCCAATTTTTTGTGTTTGCTGGGGATCAACCCAGCACCCCACCCCATACTCACCCCACACATGCTAAACATAGTGTACTGCCATTAAGCTACATCCCCAGATGCATTCCAAAATTATTCGTCTAGGGCTGGGGATGTGGCTCAAGCGGTAGCGCGCTCGCCTGGCATGCGTGCGGCCTGGGTTCGATTCTCAGCACCACATACAAACAAAGATGTTGTATCCACCCAAAACTAAAATAAATAAATAAAAATTCTCTCTCTCTCTCTCTAAAAAAATATTCATCTAGTTGCTCAATTTAGAATGGAAGAAGGCCTCTATAGAAAGTAAAGTCTAGGGCTGGGGTTGTGGCTCAGTGGTAGAGCTCTTGCCTTGCACGTATAAGACTTTGGGTTCCATCTTCAGCACCACATAAAAATAAATAAAGGTATTTTTAAAAAGAAGAAGAAGAAGAAGAATAGGGGAAAAAAACAAAAGTAAAGTCTACTTAAAATCCAAAGGGTACCTTTATCAAAGCAGCTTCTCAAAAGAAATGGCATTCATCACAACAGACATCCTCTGTGATGCAAAACCTCTCAAGGATAGAGAGTGGTGGCAGTGTTAGGGAGACAACTTTGGAGAGCAGCTCCAAGTCTAACAGTAGGTGGCTCTGTTGTAGGATGAGTTCTTGGTCCTTAAATGGTAACTGACAGATTATGGCCTGCCACGGTGTAAATTCTCTAAGTGTCTGTCAAAATCTTGAGTTGCATGTGTGCTATGGTTTGGATCTGAAATGTTCCCCAAAAGCCCACGTGTTGAAGGGACAGTTCCAGCCCAATACTATTGGAAGTGGTGAGATCTTTAAGAGGTAGGGCCTCGTGGGTCACTGGGGATATGGACTTGCATGGAGTGTGGAACCTCTCCCTTTTCTCTTCTTTTCAATCTTTCCTGTTACATCTGTGAGGTAAACAACTCCAGTATGACCACATGCTTCTGCCATGATGTGTTGTCTTTCCACAGGCCCGAAAGCAATGACACCAATTGATCATGAATACAAACCTCCAAAGCTGTGAGCCAAAATCATTTTTTTCTCTTTATAAGTTGATTATCTCAGATATCTGTTTCAGTAAAAGAAATCTGACTAACAAAATAAAGCCCATAACAATGAAATTGAGGCTGGTAATTCACATATGGGGTCTGATGAGATATAGGGTCATATTCTGAAGGGGATAGGGAGTTCACTCCAGTTTCTTACCTATGGGATCTGTTAGGGATGCACATCTGGAGCGTACAGGAGAATACACTCCGCTTTTAAATCACAGAACAACCTATTATTCATATCTGAACAGTTGAAGTGTTTGGAGTCATTTTGAAGCTGCATAGTTTAGTCCAGTCATGGTGGCACATGCCTGTGATCCTACTGATTTGGGAGGCTAAGGCAGGAGGATAGCAAGTTCCAGGCCAGTCACAGCAATTTAGCAAGTCCCTCAGAGACTTATCGAGACCCTGTCTTAACATAAAAAGTAAAAAGGGCTGTGGATTTGGTTCAGTGGTAAAGCCTGGAAGCGCATGGCCCACAAATGACAGAGGCAGGAGACAGGAAGCAGACCTCCTGTCAGCAAGCTTTCCTTTATTCTGTAAGCAAAGTCAATTATGAGGCACGGGAGGGCTCATTTTCTAGGTATAGGAAATGGCCCTCGGGTTGCACAAGGAGTCTGGGTTTTATAGTTTACGATGAGGGCAAAGTAATCGTTGGAGACTGCAGATGTGTGGTTTGGACAGTCAGGGACCTAGCTGAGAAGGTTCAAATTTTAACTCAAGAGGGCAGTTGTAAAAAGTTTGAAAATGAGTGTCACTGGGAAAGCTCATAACTCCTTGTTCACTGCTTATCTTCCTTCCTCCAGGACCCATTGTTACCCAGAGCTTCACTATTTGCTTTTCTCCTTCCAGGACTCATCTGCAATGAGAAAGGGTAAAAGTTATTTGCCTCCTTCTTCAGGACCCATTGGGGTTGGGAAGGGGCAAATGTTTGCTTTTGGTCGAGATGCTGGGGATGAACCTGGGAAGGGATGAAAGTTTGCTCTTTCTCTGAGGGTCCATTATTACTGGGAAGGGGTGTATTGGGAGAGGTTTAATGTTTGCCTAATTTCCCCTCCCTCCTCCCAGTCACACCACCCCCATCCCCTGCCTTTTTCCCAGGGAGATGTCTTTTAGGAATATTATTTTCCAACAACCTTCAAAGCCCCTCTGCATTCAATCCCTAGTCCAAAGAAGAAGAAGGAGAAGGAGAAACATAATACATACATAATAAATTGACATGGAACACAGACCAGAACAAGTCACTCTCTCCCCATTTGAAAAAGGAGAACATTCCTTGACATGATTTTTTTTTGGGGGGGGGCGGGGGGCGGGTACCAGGGATTGAACGCCGGGGCACTAAACCACAGGGCCACATCCCCAGCCCTTTAACATGACTTTTGAAGAATGAGGAAATCATCTGTTTGCCAGCCTCCTTTTGTGTTCATGTGCTGTGTGTGGTTGTGTGTGTGCACACATGCATGCTTGCCTATGACTTCTCTGATTTCCTTTCGCCTTCTATTTAATCAGCCTGGAGCTTTGTCTTCTTTGTTCTGGCCTAAGTTATTCTTCTCCTTCAAACTGCATTTATAAGACATTTCACATTTTCATACTTTCTAGATTAGGTTAAATCCACCATGCTGCTCCCTTCATAGCACCCCATCTTTTATCTTTCTTGAATATCTTCAGTTATCTCCTTGGGGGGCAGGGACCCTGTACAGTGAACAACACCTAGTCCAGGATCTAACACATTTTTTTCTTTCTTTCTTTTTTTTTTTTTTTTTTTTTTTTGGTACCAAGGATTAAACCCAGGGGCACTTAACTACTGAGCCACATCTCCAGCCCTTTTTAGAGACAGGGTCTCACTGAGTTGTTTATGGTCTCACTTTTGCTGAAGCTGGCTTTGAACTCACCATCCTCCTGCCTCAGCCTCCCCACTGCTGGGATTGTGCATGCAGGAAAAGCACTCTACCGATTGAGGTACATCTCCAGCCCCTCAAGCATCAAATTTAGCTGGATGAAAGAAGATTTTTGTGGAAGGCAAAAATCTACACTTTTTTTTTTTTACTGGGGATATAAAGTGGGGGGCATTACCACTGAGCTACATCTCCTGCCCTCTTTATTTTTTATTTTGAGCAGGGTCTCACTAAGTTTCTGAGGGTCTTAGCTAAGTGGCTGAGGCTAGCTTTGAACTTGCAATCCTTCCAGGATATCTAGTTGGGGTCTAGGTCCTTGGTGTCCTATAACATAGAATTGAGCAAGACACACACAAGTAACAGGCAGAGTACAGATTTGTTGAAGGTGAAGGTAGAAGTAGCACTCAGTCAGGTAGAGCAGAGTGGATTCAGCAAAAGAGTCTCAAACCCTGATGTCTGGAAATAGTGTCTTATGTGCTGAGCTCTGGGCAGTTTTTTTCCTATATGAAGACCCCCCCCCATTTGCCGTCATTGGAAATAGTGTCTTATGTTTTATATGTATGTTATAATTTTAAGACTGGAAGATACCACACCACATGACACAGATCACCAAAGAGGTTTCCGCTTTATTACAAAAGGCTGTGTGTTTATATAGGTCTAAGGAGAGGTCACAGGGCTGAGGTAGATAACAGGTCACCCGTTTATTGGCAAGCTCTTCCATATGTCAGTTCCGGAGCCCAAGAAGTTAATTCTAATTGGGGCTAAGGCTTCCCACCAGCAGGGTTTGAACATTGGCGCTGGCGGGAACGTTTTGCGCCAGTGAAAGAAACAAAGAGGAGAAAGAGGGTCGTTAGACGCCATGCTGGGGTTTTTCTCTGGGGTGCTGCTGCCGTTATATGTTTTCCCAACATTCCTCCCTTTTTGTTTTCTTAGGAATTGGGGCATTATTGGTCAGATCTGGCTGCTTCCAGCTGTGCAGGGGCGGCATAGGGCCTAGAAGGGGAAGTGGAGGAATGTTCGGGGGGCCAGGTCTGGGGATATCATGGCAACCAGAAATAAAACCCAGTGGCTATAGACAGCTACTTTCGTAGGGGTGAAGTCTATGAAAGTTCCCTGAAACCACAAGTCGTCGATGGCGTCGAACCAGTCCTGGATGGAGGAAATAGTTGGTATCAGCCACTGGTCCTGTAACAGAGACTCTAGGAAGTATTGGAAGCGTTGCCTTGACATGGCGTCACCAGCACCTGAAGAAAATCAGAGCAAACAAAAGAAGGATGAAGATAAAAATTAAAGCAAATGTCAGTTTTTGGCAGAAGTTCCATGTCAGGGGACTGACAGAGAAGAGGCCAAGGGCCATGAGGAGGCTTAAAAGGACAAAAAGGGCCAAGAATCCAGGATGGCAGATTAAGAGGTTCTCCGGGCTCGTTGTCTCCCACTGTCCGATGTCCGTTGCATTCCATCGTGCCTGGTAGTGAGCTTCAGCAATGAGTGAACTGTTCTCTTGAAGATGTTGGGGGCTCATCGGTCATCAAAGGCTGGTAGTACCTAAGCAGAGGCTGGTTGAAAGTTTGGTTAGAGATCTTCCGTAATTGGCCCTGTAGGAAGCGAAGCAGACAGGGCAGGAACAGACACATCAGGAAAAGAAGACATATGGGCCCTAAAAGAGGCAACAGCCACGATTGGAAGTGGGCTAAAAAGAAGGTGGCAAATGGATTTTGGTTTGGTAGATTTTTCAAAGAGGTAGCCAAGTCGGTGAGCTTGACTACATGAGTTTCCACAAGGCCTGATTCATTGATGTAGTAACAGCATTCTTCCTCAAGAAAAGACAGGTTCCACCTTTTTCGGCTGTGAGTAAGTCTACAGCTCGTCAATTTTGAAGAGTAACTTGAGCCAAGGATGTGACCTGCCTTTGTAAGGATGCTAGAGATTCTGCCGTAGAAGTGAGCGCTTGTTCAAGTTTAGAACTTAAGTCCTGTACAGCCCATAAGGAGTGTCCTAGAGCTCCACCAGAAATTCCAGCTCCCGCTGCAGATACAGTCAGTGAGAGACCCACCAGTATTGGAAGGGAAGCAGCCTGCTTATTCCTCGCTGGGGGAGACAAGAGGGCCTGCGCTTCAGCTGGGGTATAGAGAGTCAATTGTGGGACAAGCGTCACCAGTATACATGGGGTAGAGGTGTTGGTGAATAAGATAGTGATGAGAGAACCATTACACCAGAAGAATGAGACACGTGGTACATAGAGGGTGAAGTTAAAGGTGATGTTAGAGTGGCAAAACTTTGACTGGGAGACACCCAAGCCCAGGAGGCGGCGCTGGGGAATCACAGTATGGTTAGACTCCTCGGGCTCCCATAATGGAGTGTCGGGTGAAAGGGTTTGGAGAGAACGGCGGGCAGATGGAGTGGAGAAATTTGAGAGGTCAGAAGCCTAGAAGTTCAAGGGAACTGCTGCAAGCAAAGGTCGAGTCAGAGGAGTCAGAGAGGCTCATAAGTAGCAATCAGTTGGTGTGATGGCGGGGAGGGTTAGATTTAAGAAGGTTACAGTTTCAGTAAGTAGTCGTAGCCATGAATACTGTGGTGGACTCCTGACATTAGGCTCATATGGATCCTGTATGGAGTCTAACAACTGCTGTTTGGAATGCTTTAAGAGGAGGACGATGATGTCCCCTGGAAAATGGTGATGACTGTGAAAATACCACTTAGAAGAGTGGGAGTCATGGTGGAGTATGGGCAGTTATACGAGACAGGCGAAGCTTTAGAGGATAGTTAGGTTGTGGAGAGCAGGAGTAAAGGGGAGGTCTAGGAGGTGACTCTTGAGGCTCCTCTGGGGTAATCTTGTCATCAGCAGGTGGGGTGGCCTCCTGGTGATATGGCTTCAACAGGATTCCTCAGTTTGATCTGCTATGAAGCATAGCATTGCTGAACATAAGTGTGATGAGGTGGCCCAGTTGAATCCAGTAACATTAAGGGCCCGATTACAGCCAGTGAAAGGCCAATCGCCTTGGCCCATAGACTGAGAGCGGATGGTGCCATCCTGTTGCAATGTTGCTTGGACGTAGAAGCGCCATCTGTGGGTTGGGATAGAAGCTTGAGAGAGATTAATGATTAGTAATAGGAGAGGGTTGGCGAGAAACTTTGAGTTTGGTGGGCCCCAGCATGGTGGAAATATGACTGCATGGGGTCCTGTCTGGCAAGGTTTCAACGACTGAGAATGTAGCTCTCGAAGTAAAACTGCATCACCCGGTTGAAGAGGGTCCGATTTAATTCCCGATTGTGCTGGAACAGAAGTAACAGATGGTGCAGGAAGACACCAGTGTGCATGTTCTCTTAGGAGTTTGTATAGAAGCATGAGATAGGGCAGGTGGGACACAAGGGGAGGAGGAGTGACAGGAAAGTTTTAGTTGATTAAGAAAGGCATCCATAGAACAGCTCAAAGGGGCTAAGGCCTGAGGGGGCTCTAGGGGTTGCCCGAATTTTGGTGAGGGCCAATGGCAAAAGATTGGGCCAGGACAGTCTGAGTTCAAGCAAGTTTAGTGAGATGATCCTTGAGAATGCCATTAGGCCTCTCAACTTTACCCAAGGATTGGGGTCAGTGGGGGATGTGGAGCCTCCAAGTGCTGTTAAGGCCTTTGGAAACTAGTTAAACAATCCGAGAAGTGAAGGCTGGACCGTTGTCTGACTGGATGGAGGGAGGAAGTTCAAACCTAGGAATGATCTGCTCAATGAGGATTGAGGCGACAGTGTCAGCAGTTTTCCTGGAGGTAGGGAAGGCTTCTATCCAACAGTAAGAGAGTGCTATCCCCAAATTACAAACAGTTAAATCCTGTGTCAAGGCCTGACCAAAGTCGTAGGGACTGTCCCTGAAGCCTTGGGGTAGGCCTGTCCATGTCAGCTGTTGAAACCTAAAGAATGTAAGGTCTTCCCATGTGAAGGCAAAGAGGTAATAAGAGTCAGGATGCAGAGGCACTGTAAAGACATTAGCTTTAAGATCCAGGACAGTAAAGTGAATGGTCAAAGGGGTATATGAGAAAGAAAAGCATGAGGGCTGGAAACCGAGTGGCTGGGAATAACTGCCTCATTAATTAGGCGGAGTTCCTGGACTAAGTGATAGGCTCCTGAGGGTTTGCATACCAGAAATATAGGAGTATTACAGGGGGAGTCTGTGGAGAGCCATTCTCACGCGTGACTGGGTGACTCCCGGTTTGGGCCTGAGGCTTCTGGCTGTGTCGGAATTTTCCCGGCCCTTTCCTGATGAGAGAACCCGTCCGTGTGGGGATGTGACTGACCACTGACCCCGGGGGCCCAATCACTGACCCTGACCTTGGAGTGCGGCCCCCCCTCAACCTTCATTGGATGGAATTATCCCCTGAATTTCTTGTTCCCCAATAAAAGGCTACTCCCTGGCGTGCTCTCTCTCTCTCTCTCTCCTGCTAGCCCTGAGTAATCCTTACTGCCCTACGGGTGGTTCGAGGTTGGAGCCAGAGAGGGGAGCCGTCTCGGACCTGGTCATAGAAAAAGGTAACTGAGTCTGTGTGTTTTATTTCGATCTCTGCTAGCTAACTTTTATGCCAAGAACCTCATTAATGAAACCAATGCGCAGGCCGCATGGTGGAGGAGTCAGTAAGGATTGGGAGTCCCTGGGCCAGCAACCGTGTATAATGGGCTTAAATCCCTCCCTATGTGTTTTGGAGATAGGAAATTGGGAACACAAGGAAGTTTAGTTTGGTGTTTCAGCTGGGTATGGACTGGCTTGTGGTGGGAGGCAATAACCAGCATGGAGATGTCTCAGACCTAGGGATCAGGGGGCAATGGCACAGAAGGTACTGTCAGGTCATTAGAGAGGGTAAGAGTTAAAGGCCAAAGGAGATGGGTGGTAGTATTCTTGGGGTGTAATTGGAGGGTGGCTCCTAATAATTGGAGAACATCTCTGCCTAGGAGAGGAACTGACAGGATGGAATGACCAGAATAGTGAGTGAATTGGTGTCCCTCCAGGACACAGGCCAGCTTTACCGTCCTGTTTGGGGAGAAGGGTTTGTTATCAATCCTCATAACTGAGACCTGGGAAGGAAACAGAGGCCTAGAATGGGCAGACAAGACAGAATAGGTAGCCCCTGTGTCCACAAGGAAGGTTATGGACTTACCCGCTGCCTGGAGCATTACCCTGGGCTCGGAGAGGGCTGAGGGGGTCTTTGAATCTGTGCTTCTTCAGTCTTCTGCAAACCTCAAAAGTTCAGGAGAGGGGACTGCCTGACTGGTCATACCCCCTGCGTAGAGGTGCCAAGGAAGGGCCAGCCAGGGGCAGTCAATCTTCCAATGTCCTGTCTGCTTACAGGTGGGGCATGGCCTGGAAGGAGGCTGTGGGTTTGGGCATTGGCAAGCCCAGTGACCTTCGCATCCATATTTGAGGCAACCCTCTGGTGGAGAGGAATGCTGGTTCCCCTCTGAAACTTTTGCTGGAGATGTAGGCCTCAGGGCTGCTGTCAAGACCTGAGTTTGGGGTGTTACCCTCTTTTCTGCAATGGAGCCTGCTTTAAAAGCCATTTTCACCAGATCTCAGATAGGGGTCTGATAGTCCTCCTCAGCTCATTTGAGCTTTTTCTAATATCATGAGCCGATTGCAACCCTGTAGCCCTGATGGGAGACTCAAGATCTAGCTTAATGTATTTGGTTAGGGCCTCTGTAAGGCAGTTGAGAAATAAGGATGGATTTTCATCAGGGTTCTGGGTAATGTCCTTCAGTTTATCAAAGTTAACTACCTTATTAGAAACTGCTTGCATTCAGTCCCAGTTAGGTTCAGTTATGGGATGTGCACTCGGACTATCCCTTCAGCACCAGCTACTTCCCTGAGAGAACAAAGGAACTGTGAGTTATCTGATAAGAGGGATCAGTGAGGCACTGACAGGTGGGGGGGGGGGGAAGGACTTATCAGTAGAAGAAGTGAGCAGAGTGGGGGGAGGGGGAGAGGCTCGGAGGGATCCGGAGATCCCACCCATTGCAGCCAGGTGGGACCCATCCTGCCTGCCTATTGGAACCTGGCGGCAAAGGGAGACGCGAGTCAGGGGCTCGCGAAAGCTGCTGTGGCACAATGAAGGCGAAGGACAGCGGCTCGCCCGCCGGCTGAGGTGGGATCCCGAGGCCTCTCCAAGCCGCCGAGGGCACACTACCGGCCCGTTTCACCCGCCGCACTGGGAACATGGAGCAGGCAGGCTAGAAGCAGGCAGACAGAGCCATGGGCGGGGGGCACCAGCAGTGGCCAGGAAGAAAAGGGAGGGGAGGGGGATGTCTCCGAGGAAGAGGAGGGGAAGTGCACAGGCAGGGCCACGGGGGCGGCTGCAACAGGGAGGGGGGGGGGAGTGAGGGGAAGGTTGGGAACAGAGAGCAGAAAGCAGGACGGGGAGGCCTGGGAACTCTTTCTACCCTTTCAGGCGCCGGCAATAGTTAAAAGGTCCCGGAGGAAATTTGGATCTAACGAGCCTTCTGGAGGCCAATGATTGTCATTATCTAGCGGATATGTGGGCCAATCTTGGGTACAGAATCTGATAAGAATTTTGGGCTTGAGGTCCGGGGAGAGAGAGAGAGAGTAGCCAAATTCTTAAGGAGACACTTGAGTGGTGAGGCTTCCGGTATAGGCGAGGAGGCATCCGTGGTTAAAGAGTGGAGGAAGGGACAGAAAAGGGAGAAAAAGAATTAACCCAGGCTGTAGAAGCTTCCTGGAAGCATAGAGCAGATGGAGGATCACCTGGGCGTCCCCGAAGTGACCAGTCCACTGCGAGTAGGCACAGAGGGCTCAGCTCGGTCTTCACCGACAAAGTGCAGTCTGTGTGACCCTGTAAGGTCCAGGCCACGAGCCACCTGACGTCAGGAAAATTTTTCCACCGGAACAAGAGAATCAAGGAAGGAAAAACAGAGCCCCAGCAGAACGCAGCTCCAGGCCAGAAGTTCAGCTCCGGGCTGAACACAGCTCTGGCGCGGGAGGAAGAGACCAGGGAGCCTCTCTCGTGTAAACCCAGAAGCCTCACGCCCCAAAGGGAAGCGGGTCACCAGAGGGTCCACTGCGACCAGTGAAGGTCTTAGTGGAGTGCATTCCCTCCTCCCTACTGGGCGTCAGGAGAGTGCCGGACAATCAGCTGCTAACCTGAAGGGAGTTGGCCAGCTGGGGAGGAGGGAACCTTACCTAGACCCGATCAGTGGTGAGTGCAGGGAGCCCGTGCCCAAAAAGACAGACAAGGGCGAAATGTGTCCTTGGTGACGGCGGTGGCAGAGACAGGGCTTGGTTTGTCGAGCACACCGTCTCCTGGGTTTTGTCACCACTGTAAGACTGGAAGACGCCACACCACATGACACAGATCACCAAAGAAGTTTCCGCTTTATTACAAAAGGCTGTGTGTTTATATAGGTCTAAGGAGAGGTCGCAGGGCTGAGGTAGATAACAGGTCGCCCGTTTATTGGCAAGCTCTCTATATGTCAGTTCCGGAGCCCAAGAAGTTAATTCTAATTGGGGCTAAGGCTTCCCACCAGCAGGGTTTGAACATTGGCGCCCGTGGGAATGTTTCATGCCAGTGAAAGAAACAAAGAGGAGAAAGAGGGTCGTTAGACGCCATGCTGGGGTTTTTCTCTGGGGTGCTGCTGCCGTTATATGTTTTCCCAACAATAATTCACAATAAAGAAACCACCTAGGGCTAGGGTTGTGGCTCAGCAATTGAGCGCTCACCTAGAATGTTCGAGACCTGGGTTGGATCCTCAACACCACATAAAAATGAATAAGATAAATAAAGGTATTGTGTCCAACTACAACTAAAAAATAAATATTAAAATAAACAAAGAAACCACCTAAAAATGTGTGTCTCCCCCTTGCACGTTTTAAAGTTGACATCTGAAGTTTTCATTTTACCATTTTGTTTTTTCTTTAAACTTGAACAAGAGTGTTCAAAGCAGACTTGTTCCAATTGTCCCAATCTGGCAACAACCCAAATGTCTAGCAACTAGAGAATGGATTAAAAAAAATTGTGGATTTTCATACTCAGCTATAAAAAGGAACAAAGTGGATGAATCTCCAAAACACTGTTTTTTTTACATTTTAGTTTTCGGCAGACACAACATCTTTGTTTGTATGTGGTGCTGAGGATTGAACCCGGGCCGCACCCATGCCAGGGGAGCATGCTACCTCTTGAGCCACATCCTCAGCCCCTCCAAAACATTGTTATACAAAAAGAACCAGATGCAGAGTAGCTTGTGTATGGTTTTGTTTATCTGAATCCTTGTCCTTGTATTTTGTTAATATCAAACAGCTCTGGATTTAAAATATGATTTAGGGCTGGGAATGTAGCTCAGTAGTAGAGCATGTGCTTAGCATGCTTGAGGTCCTGGGTTCAGAAACCAAGAACCAAGCAATTAAAAAAAAAAATTCAGGTCTGATTCAGACATGTACTTTTTATATCCTGGGCAAGTCACCTAACCTCCTGAAGCCTCAATTTATTCAACTGTAAAACTGACACAATAATAAATAAGAATAGATAGTCAATTGTGAGGCAATCCCAGTAATCAGATGCAATTAATATCTCCTTCCTACATAAAGATCACACTATGAGAATAAGGCTAGAAACACTAATAGGCCCCATCAGGTCCTCTTTCAAATGTAAAGACCATAAGGCTTACTGGTGGGTGCCAACATTCCAGTCAAATTCTTTTGTGAGGAGTGGGAATAGAAGGCAGGGCTAAACCCTGATGAAAGTGACAAAAAGGATTCAAATTCAAAGGCTAAGATAACAGTAGCTGGGAGTGGTGGCTCATGCCTATAATCCCAGCCATGGAGAGTCTGGGACAGGAGGATGGTGAGTTCAAACCAGCCTTGGCAAAAGCGAGGCCCTAAGCCACTCAGTGAGACTCTGTGTCTAAATAAAATACAAAATAGGGCTGGGGATGGGGCTCAGTGGTCGAGTGCCCCTGAATTCAATCCCTGGTACCAAAACAAACAACAAAAAACTCCTTTTGTGCTCTGCAATTCTTTCCTTCTTTATAAGTTAGATAGCCATATGCATGTGTAACTCTTATTAGAGATACCTAATTTTTCTAAATTATTTAATGGGGTAGGCAGGTTTTTAAAAAAGAATGCGAAGGCCACTCTACTAAACAAATTGTGGGTCTAGTCATTTTTACTTCTCAGCATTGTTGGGGGGATCAAATGGGATCTCACAGTAAAAGCAGCTCTAAGTTCTGACATAGGAAGCCTCAGGGAGCATCAGGAGTATATCTTTTTTCCTTTTGTGGTTATATTTTAAGTGCTATGGAGTACATGGAAACAACACCCACTTGGAGCAGGAACTGCCAGGGAAAGAGCCCAGAGGACGTGACATTTGGGTGGGTCGTGAGTGACGATGAAATCTGTCATCTCTTTTTATGGCTGCAATCTGTCTGCTGTCTCTGGCATGTTTCCCACCTGGATTTCATCTGCATTGTGTTTTATCTGATTTAGAAGGGCCCAGAGGGAAAACTCTAGGCCTTACCCCGACATGAGCATGCAGGGACCCCTTGTATCAGGTACCAAGTAGTGGTTGGTGATGGCTCCATATTTGCTAGACAGATGTATGTCACCAAGGGCAGGGTTGAGCCTTTTAAGAATTTCTGCCACTGTAGTGCTACAGGATTCCTGAGTTTCACCCACACATGGCTCTCTTCCCAAGCCCTAGCCAGCGGCCAACACGTATACCAACAAACTCACCCACTTGCCCAGCACCACCACCCCTGAAAGTGGCGAAATGCACACCGCACCCCTCAGGACAATCTTGTCTCTGGGAGACAGACATAGGGTCTTGCATTTAGTAGACACTTGATAAGCATTGATAAGCATCTGGTGAATAATAAATGAATAACTACATTGGGATTAGGATATAGGAGTGAAAAAACAGCCTCTGCCTCAGAGCAAAGCTTGTCCAAGGAAGGGACATGACATTTGTCCTTGAAAAGACCCACAGAGCACTCCTAGGCACATTCCCACCCTGATAAGTTGTTTATCTACAAGTAACAGGAGAGATCTGCTGTGCCAGGTGTCCCTGACTCAGTCAGGCTAGGTGGGGACCCATAGCAACCCCCTAGCAGCCACCAATCAGCATGAGACAGGAAAATACCTGGGATGCCAGATGACCCTCCCAGTAGTTTATGGTGGTTGATAACGTGTTGAGAAACCATGTAGTTCAGCATGAACACCCCTCTTGGCTTAAACCAATCAGTTCAAATGAATCCCCCTCTTGTAGTAACCGATCACCCCTACCCAACTTGTTCCCACCAGTGAATGTGCTAATCATGTTTTAGAGTTGTTATTTGATTTTCCCGCGGTGTGTGATGATTTGCTAAGAGATGCTATGATGTATGTGAAGTCCCTGCCTTCTCCAAAGAATGTATAAAACTGCTGCAAACCCTGGGCTCGGGGCCTCTCAGTGTCACCAGTTGCTGTGTGCGCGGAGGACCGAGCTAGCTCGCAATAAACACCTCTTTGCTGCTTATATCGATCTTGGTCTCTAGTGGTCTTTTGGGGGTCCCGAATTCAAGCATATCAGGAGCTGCTGTTTAGAAAGAAATGAGTAGATTATGTGCCTGTTCCCAATCCTGAATGTGGATCAGAATCACTGGTGGAGCTGTTCAATATTCAGATTCTAGACTCCTACTCCTTGTCCACCTGCTGAACCCTAATGAAGAGGGAGATACACAGAAAGGAACTACATATTTTATTTTATTTGGGGGGATGCTGGAGATTGAACACAATAGGGCATTCTACCCCTAAGCTATACCCCCAGCCCTTTTATTTTGAGACCGGGTCTCAAACTTGGGATCTCCTTGCCTCAGACTCCCCAGTAGCTGGGATATCAGGTGGGTTCCACTGCACCCAGCAGATTCTGGTTTTGATGGCCCATCAGTTATGGGAATGATAGAACTGCTAAATATCTGGATTCATTTTTCATTTAAAGTGCCAATTTGGGCTATGGTTGTGGCTCAGTGGTAGAGCACTTGCCTAGCATGTGTGAGGCACTGGGTTCGATCCTTAGCACCAAATAAAAATAAATAAATAAGTAGTTAAAGAAAACAAGAACAAAGTGCCAATTTGGCAATATCTATCAAAATTCAATATTTTTGAACCTATACTTTCTACTGACCTTATCCTATACCAAAAACATTAGGTGTAAGGATATTTAGGGAAGCATTTTTTTGTTCATTTGTTTGCTTGTTTCTTTGGTACCAGGGATTGAACTCAGGGATGCTTAACCACTGAACCACATCCCTAACCCTTTTATTTTTTTCTTTTGAGACTGGGTCTTGTTAAGTTGCGCAGGGCCTTACTAAATTGCTGAGGCTGGCTTTGAACTTGCAATCCTCTTACTCAGCTTCCTGAGCTGCTAGGATTACAGGTGTGCACCACCTCACCCAGCTATGGAAGCATTTTTTTTTTTTTTGGTGGGAGTGGTTATGGGGATTGAACTCTGGGGCACTCAACCATTGAATCACACCACCATCCCTTTTTTGTATTTTATTTAGAGACGGAGTCTCACTGAGTTGCTTAGTGCCTTGCATTTGCTGAGCCTGGCTTTCAACTCCTGACCCTCCTGTCTCAGCCTCCTGAGCCACAGGAATTACATCACGTGCCCAGCAAGGGAAGCATTTTTGAGCAGAAATGTTTGAAACTAGGAAAATGTGTCATTCATTAGACACATTCTATTGAGCATTATTCCAATTACCGGATAATAAAATTCCTACTTTTATAGGGATTTACTTTTTTTTTAAGTTGTACACACTATACCTTTATTTTGTTTGTTTGTTTATTTGTTTATTTT